GGGGGGAGGCTGCAGAAACCAGAAACCAGGGGGAGGAGTGCTAAGGAATGAGCCTGGTAGAGACAGGTGGTGGGGAGGCCCTGGGACAGACGGAGACTCACTCCACCGTGCTAGCACACCACTCTAGGGCCAGTGCGCAGAATGCACGACACCGGGTTCCTGCAGAGGCCTTCGCCTAAGAGAAGCTCCGCCGGACAGGAGTTCACATCTAGTCCCTCCGCTCTCCCTGACCCTCAACCCTCGCTCCCCACACGCACTGCAGTGTGCAGAGGGAGCCTGGTCGCAAAGCAGCCTTTCGACCCTCAAGTTTCCCTTCTTCCCCTCTGTCAATAAACTATTCTGGCAGGAAATAAGGATTTGGGACTTGCGATATTCTGGAGAAGATTAACACTGGAGAGGGTGATTTCTCTGGATTAAATGTTAGTATTGCTAAGTATCTCATTGTGCGATCTTTTTCATCCTTTAGCCAGCACATAAACACACGCTCTGGATGGAACCAAGGCAAACCTGTTTTTCCTGAATACAGAGTGGCAGGCAAGCAGGATGGCCAGGGTGTGAGCACACTGGGGAGTAGACATTCAACGAGAACACGCAAGCCCACAGTCCGAGCACAGGACCCGAGAGCCAGGTGCCAAGGGTGGGAAAAGGAGAGGAAAACCCACCTGTGATTAAGACTCGCGGATGGTCTGTCTCCGAGAAAGTGATAGAGTGGAAGTTGGCGTCAGCTGGGATTTGCCGAGGGGAAGAGCCCAGGAACCTGACGGGCACCGCCGATGTCCGGCAGCCACAAGCTGGTTTCGGCAGCATCCGGCCCACGGCCTGGCTTAGTGTCCGAATAACTGGCATTTTCTTTCAAATACTCTATAATAACAAAGGAACATAGTGGAGCGTAAGGCAACGGGGGTAAAACCACCTCAGCAGAAAAGCGAACCCTTGTTAGGCGATAACCATTAGCAAAAAACTCCATCTCAGTGCCAGAGAGTGGATGTCGAGTCACCCCCAACCTGTAGGACAGGGTGGAACCGGCCCTGGGAGTTTGCCAGACTGTAACTCTGTAAGGGAGTAGAAAGCCCTGCCCCGCCTTTCTCCGAGGGGCAGCTGGTGGTTTCAAACGCAAACCTTATGGTTAGGCTTTATGCCTATGCCACCAGAGCTCCTGGGAACCCAAACCAGTGATCAGTAAGTCTAGAATCGGTTGAATTGGGAGTGTACTCGCTGTGTTTATTTGCACTAAAATAAAATACTACTCTGTTAAAAGTCATTGTTTTTAAAGGAGCCTGTTTAATCTTCTAGCCCCTCCAAAGTCAAACTCTTGAACAGAAATGGATACTGAGACTGTTAGCTTTTGAATAAAGCCGTGTTTTTGGACCCATAAACCAAATTAGAGAGAGTGCTGAGTAAGTCAACAGGGTGCCTCTAGGAGGCAGGCCCTTGAGAGAGGGGCGACATGTTGCTCACACAAAGTCTAGGCAAGCAAAGGCTGGGTGAAAATTGAGAAATGCAACCAAATAATGCTGAAATCAACTGAGATTTAGTGTATCATCAGGAGGTTCCTTCAAGCAGAGCGCTACAGTCAGCAACAAGGTTTTAAATCTTGGTGAAAACCGTTATCAATTTGTCCTCAACCCCTGAAGGTGTGAGTCGGTCCCAGATTAAACAACTCACTGCACTGTAAATATCTTGTGCTAATACTCAGATGGTTTTTAGAGCGAGCCATATTGTAAAAACAGATGGTTCCTATTATTTTACTGTATTCCATATGCAACACCAACCCTTTTTCTCAATTCCTCAAAGATTAAATTTATTTCCTATAAGCCTCGATCTTCTTTTTAGGTCCTCCAGTAATTCAAACACTGTGCACTTGAACTACTAACCTAATGATTAGTAATTCAAGATATGAAAATAATAATGATTTATAATTTATTAAGGGGTCACAAAGGCGGGAGGGGAAAAAAGAGGAGCTGATACCAAGGGCTCAATAGAAAGTAAATGTTTAGAAAATCATGATGGCAACATATGTACAAATATTCTTGAGGTAATTGACATATGAATTGTTATAAGACCTGTAAGAGCCCCCAATAAAATGATCTTTTAATAATACAGCTTTTAAAATTTAAAAAGATGGGTAATTCAAACCTACCCAGCAGGGCTGCTAAGTAAAGCCTTGGAAGATCTTCATCCTTAAAGATTATAGCCTAGAAGATTCTACTTTGGGACATGTGGGCACAAGGAATCTGCATCGGCTTAATGGCAATGGGTTTGGGTCTTTCTTGTTAGGGTTACCACAAAATCAATTCTGCCTTTCAGAGGTCAAGGCAGTCCAATAACATATGGCTGCAGACCTGACACCTAAGTTCTCCCCATCCTGCAGACAACACCCAGGCAAGCATCACACACGCACGCAGCTAAGTGTGACGAAGAAACTAGATGGTGTCGGTTATCAGAAAAAATAGCACCTGGAGTCTTAAAGGCTTGTTTTCAAACAAGCAACCATCTAAGTGAGGCGTCAACTAAAACCACATGGAAGAAGCACACCACCAGCCTGTGATTGAAGAATCGTAAGTAATAGAACCCCAATCTAAGAGAGAGCGGCATCAGAGCTTAAATTGTGACCACCTAGTTTGCAGAAGGCTATGGATGATAATGGAAGCCCCAAAATCCATTTGCAGGGTCCACACATGGGTTAAGCCTCCTGTCAATCCCTTCTGGATCACAGTTGAGGGTGTGCGAATAGCCTTGTTATCAGACAGAGCCTTGTAAAGTTGATTATGGCAGACGTGGTGAGAACAAAAGGTAATGGCATCATTTGATCCTCCTCTTGACCTATTTTAAAGATGTTTCAGTTTTAAAATGTGTTCAAGGTGAAGGGGAAATACACATGGATTAAGCCCCTGGTGAAGCCCCTCTGGCCATGGACCAGGGATGTGAATTGCTTTGCTAACATGTAGAAAGCATTGGAAAGTGGATTGCTGCAGATGCAGTTAGGTTAAAATTTAGCATCATTCAATCTTCTTTATGGTCCATTTAATTTTGTTCTAGCTTTTGATATTTTCTGCTTTCTTTTTGATTGAGGTGATTATCTGTTTCATTTTGTTATTCTTGTTAGCTTTTTGTTTGCTTATTTGTTTGTTTAATGTATGTATGTGTGTGTATATGTATATATATATATGTGTAAAAATCCTGGATAGGTAAATCTATAGAGACAGCAACTGGATGAATAGCTCCTGAGGGGTATGGCAGGCCCAGGAGGCTGGGGAGAGAGGGGGAGCTAATAACAAAGAATACAAGAATGAAGCAAATGCTCTAAAACTGGTTGTGGCAATGATTGCGCAACTCTTCTGGATGTGATTGAACTATTGAATTGTATATGTGAATTATAAGCCAATAAAGCGGTTTTAAAAAGAAGATATGCTTCAGTGATTTGTTGGGTGTGGATAGCACACAAATACAAACACATGGCAAATTCAACCATGATTGTGTTTCCATGTATAAGACAAGCCTACACTTCTACAATCAGGGCACTAGCTCAGCCTTCATGCCTGTGGCTAAATGTTTAATTCAACAAGTTACTGTATCATTGCAAAGGGCAGTGCCATGGTTTCTTCCAGCGCTTTTTCATCTGAACAAGGCTTTATTGTGTGTTTCTCTAGTCAGTGCAATCTGATAAAGTATCCTAGGAGATGCTTCTGTAGCTATCTTATTTCTAGTTTGAAAAAGCTGTAACTGTCTGGCTTTTAAAGAGCTTTCTCTACCTACATTTAAGACATTTGTTTTTTCTGAATGTCCGGTCCCAAAATGACAAAGCACTGTTACCATAATTAATGTGATTTCAAAAGGCTCTGTGACATAAGATCCAGAAAGAAGATGGCTAATGTGCATAAAGCTGAGGAAAGCCTTCGTTATATTTTTATTTCTTATTTAATTTTGCCCATTTCTTTGACATAAAGTATTCCCTTCTATGAGTCAGATGGACCCCTGGTGGCACAGTGGTTACACATGAGGTTGCTAACCTTAAGGTCAGTAGTTCGAAACCATCAGGCATTCTGAGGAAGCAAGAGGAGGCTTTCTATACCCGGAGAATTGTAGTCTCAGAAACTCAGGAGCAGTTCTACCCTATCCCATAGGGTGGCTGTGAGTTGGCACCAAGTAGCTGGCAGTGCGTGCGTGCATCTAAGGAGCTCTGGCTGCACTGTCAGGTAAACATTAGACCGCTCACCACAAGGTCACTCACCACAAGGTTGGTGGTCCAAACCCACCAGGTGCTCCATGGGAAAAAGATGAGGCTCTCTGCTCCTGTCAAGAGTTACAGCCTCAGAAATCCTGCATAAGGTCAGAATCAACTTGATGGCAGTAGGTTTTATGTCAGGGAGCTCATTACCTAGACACAGATGGTGCAGTACCGAGTTGGAAAAGTCTTCTAAAAGACATCAGAGGTGCTAACATCCCACTGAAAATAAGCATCTTCACACCCTAAACCTATGGCCTTAGAAGGTTCTATAAACACAAGACCATGTATGCACACGTTTATGTTAGAGGGAAAGTTCAAGTCACAGAGCCTCTAAAAAACTCTACTGGACACCTGTGAGAAACAGGCAAACATCTGACTGCACTTTCTAAAAGTTTTGAGCTCATGGAAGCTGTGAAAGGGTCTCAGAGCCGCCCCCACCCCCACCCCACCCCCCACTCTCCCAGAGTTCTCTTGATCATACTTTCCGAGTTGTTCTAAAATAAAAATCATTTTCCCAAGCTACTTAATTAAGTGCTATCAGGAGGCCATCAAAGAAGATTCCAGTCCTCACTTATTAAGGATCGCCTGATCGTACAGGACACTTTCTGTCCTTGCTTACTTTAATTGCAAGGAAGGGATGAAAAAGAAAGGCCAGCAGACTCTCCCTCGGTAAATAATGGAGCACCTCCCAGCACAGGCCTCTTGAGGGTGGTTATTACCTTTCGAAGCCACCAGCCACTCTGCAGGAGAAAGAGGAGGCTTTCGATTCCCATAAAGAGTCTCAGCAACCCACAGGGGCCAGTGCTCCCGGATCTTGAGGGTCGCCACCAGTCAGAATGGACTCAAAGTCAGTGAGGTTGTTTTGGGCTTTCCCATCTTCCAGCATATTTAGCTGCTCTAACAAGAGAAGATAGCGGTGGCTTGGGGGAGGGGATGCTTGAGATGCAGGTGCCACACTCAACTAGCAGACTTGGGCATTGTTTGGAGGCAGGGGGGTTGGTGAAAAAGTGGGAAACATCACCACAGACTAATTTGTGTTGCTGGATGAAAAAGAGGGAACCCTAGTAGCATCGTGCTTACAAGCTGGGCTATGAACTCCAAGGTCAGCAGTTCGAAACTACCAGCCACTTAGTGGGAAAAAGATGAGGCTTTCTACTCCCGTAGTATAAAGACTTACACCCACAAGAAGGAGCAGTGTGACTCTGCTACTGGCTCACTGAGTCAGAACTGCCTGGGCAGCAGTGAGTTGAGCTCGGATGAAAAGGCTTCTTGGAGAAGCATGTCAAGTGAGAAGACAAATGAGCCTGCTTTGGGACATGTTTATTTTGAGGTGTCAAGAGACAACATGCCTGCCTTCCGAGACTAAACTATGAACTCCACCAAGCAATTTTTAGCAGGGTTCATTCCAAACCAAACTCACTGCGGTGGAGTCCCTTCTGACTCATAGTGACCCTACCCGGCAGGGTAGAAAAGCCCTTTGGGGTTTCAGAGACTTCCAATCTTTAGCCGGAGCTTTCGTTCATCTTTCTGCTAAGGAGCAACTGGTGGATTTGAACTGCTGACCTTGTTGTTAGCAGCTCCATTCATAGCCCATAAAGCAGAATACTCCTGAGGTGGGGGACGACACTGGGCGTGGTCAGCAGTGATGACTGGGTTTGCTCCTGGTGAAGGGCACGGGCACGCGGCCCAGACTCTGTCAAGTAGGCAAGTGCTGACTTTTCATCAGAGCCAGTTCATTGCCGTGCAGAGAAGCCCCACTTTGGGGGGGGGGGCGGGGGGCGTTTAGAATACAGAATGTGGAATGCTTCTGGCGTAACTACAGGTGGTGTCACCCAGGTGGGTGGGTGCCTCAGGCAAACCCCACCCCCAGGGCCTGAGCCCAGTGACCCGCCCCTCCATCCCCTCCGGGAAGCATCTCTTCCTCCGCTCCCGGCTGAAGTGGAGTCTGCTCTCCAGCAGCCAGCCCACCGGCCCTCATTGCCACGAGGGGGAAATGGTGTCGTGGTGAAAGCCGATCGCAATGGGACATTGGTGACACCACCTGATTGATCCCGTTGATGGGGCCAGCGCGCCAGGTTCCCGCCCCAACTCAAGCACACCTTCCTTTTAAGAGTTTGGATAAATTTCTGTGTCGACGTGAAGTTTCCTCCCCTCTAGAGAGGGAGCAAAGCAGTGCCACCACTGCATTAGGATGTTCAGAGGATGAATAAAAGCAATCAATGGGTGAGAAACAGCAAGTCAAGTTCAATCAAGGTAAACTCCTCACCCCACGCCGAAATGTTACAATCTCTGAGCTGGTTAATGGTTTCTCAGGAATGAGGCCAAATTGATCGTATGTCCGAGGATAAGCTTTAAGCAAGAAAGGTGAGGGGCGGCGGAGTGGGGTGGGGGTGGGGGTGGGGGTGCTGTAGAGGTGAACCGGAGGGTCTAGGTAGGAGGTCCGGCACTCCGTGGTGCGCCCGGCCCATCAGGTTTGGGCAATTCCGCAGAGAACGGCCTCTCCCTCCCACCCACACCTGCCTAGGGGATTGTCCACCGGGTCACCCTGGGCTTGGGCCCCAGGGGACCTGATCCGCGCAAGTCTCCCAGCCTCAGAGGGATCCCATGTGGAAAGAGTGTGCAGTCCCACCCTGCCCAGGAGAAGGCTTCCCAGAGAACTGGCTAAACCGGTTGCAAGAAAAGATCCGCACCCCAGCTTAGAGGGGAACCCTTCAGAAAGTGGGAAGAATACAGGTCTCGCGCCCTCCCCAACCCATCTGCGCCGGGCCCTCCACCGCTGGAGCCCGCGCTGAGCACGCCTGCGCCTGGGGGACCACCGGGGACCCGCCACTGCGCCCGGGAGTGCAGTCTGCGGGCCGGCCCCGAACCAGGGGGCTAAGCGATGTCTGCCTCCACTCCAAACGGGGACTCGCTCCCCCAATCAGCCGCTGCGAAACGTGCGGCCACCCCTCCGACTGACCTTCCCACGCGGCGGCTCGGAGGTGCTGTGAAGGCAGCGCTGGAGTCTGGGAGAAACAGGACCTAGCGCATCCGAGGGCAGCGACTTTTATGGTCTCACCACCCTAACCCACCCCCACCCCCACCCACCCCCGGCGCACCAATCCCGGGCTTCGGCGAAGGTCAGCCGAGCGTCAGAGTGAGGTCAAGGAGGGGCGGGCTCCGGTTGCCTGGACAACCGTCTGTCTGCCGTTTCCAGGCTCTTTTGAAGTGGCGGGTCCTGCGCTACTTGCTCCGCACACCCTCCGCTGTCGCCTTCTCCTGGGACAGACCTGATGGAGAACCGAGAAATGGTCGTTAGCAGCCCAGGCGCGCATCATCTTCAACTGCACCGTCCTACGGACACTGTCAGGGTGGGAGCAGCCTTTCCCCCTGAAAGGAGCCCTAGTCGCCTAGTGATTATGTTTTGGGCTACTAACTGCAAGGTCAGCAGTTTGAACTCATCAGCACGGAGGGGGGATGGGAGGGGCGGCAGGTAAGATTTACAGTCTCGGAAACCTCCAGGAGCAATTCTACTAGGAGTTAGACTTAACTCGATGGCGGTGAGTGTGGCCCCTCAGAAGCCTCAGGGAAGAGCTTGTGCCCAGCTGTCCCTCCGTTAATATGGAGGCCAGACTTCTTCAGGGTTGTGAGAGCGGAAGGGAACACTTGATCCGTTTGCTAATAGGCCAGCCCGGACCAGGAGTCAAGAGATCTAGTACTGAGACACAAAGCAACTCACTGTGTGTTGGGTTCCCGGTGGGGCGGGGCAATGCTGGGAAATAAGATCACTTACAAAACCAAGACCAGTGGAATCAGCATCCCCTGGGAAGTTACTAGAAATGCAGATTTCCAGGTCCCACTCCTGAATGGGAATCTCTGGGAGCAGCCTGTTTTTTTAACAAACTTTCCAAGTGATTATAGAGCATGGGTGTAGTACCTCAGTACCTCATTGGCCGTACTGTTGCTTCCTGCTCCTCCTGATGACCCGAGTCCGACTGTCCCATAGAGGTTCCGAGGCTGTGCATCCTCACAGAAGCAGAATGCCACAGAGCAGCTGGAGGATTAGAACCATTGAACTTGGAGCGTACTAGGTTTAGTTCTCCTGTTTTACCTTAGTTCATTGAAGAGTTCCTGAGGGCTTCCAAGCAACATAAAGCACAACATGAAGCACAACTGGTCTCTATTCCCCTGGAGGCAGGATGGGAAGGAAATAAGAGGTGTGGCTCATTGCCTCCCTCAGTAACTTGCCCCTTTGCCCCCATCAGAAGAACTGGCTGGTGTCCGAGTGAGCTTTGTGATAGGGGATTCTGTAGATGGATCCTGATCCAAAGTGGGAAGTTGCAGAACCGAATGTCACATTTCCCATGAAATGCAGACTTTCAGGAGCCATGGAGGCTGGACAAAAGCCTGAACCTATTGTCCCGAGGCAGTCAGACCAAAGCTACACCCTGCAGTCTTCTAAAAACCAAACAATAGTTAGGGAATATTGTTCAAATGTCTGCCTTGAGCGGTATACCCTCTTCACAACGATCTGTGAGGGATCAAATTGATGAGCGGAATGCTAAAAACCAAATCAAAGCCTTGGGGACAGTGGGTTGAGTTACTGGGGGAAGAAGAAATGGAGGGTGACAGTGGCTGCACGACTCAGCGTCACCAAGGCCGCCAAACTGTGCGTGCAGAGATGTCTGGATTTGTGTCTATTTTGCTGTGTAAGCTTTCAAGAGTAACGATGACCAGGAAGAACTGACAGGCCAAAGGAGGCCATGGAGCTATGATGACTAATGTAGAATTTGATGATAAAAGATAAAAGCACATGCGTGGAAAACTGGTGCCACCTGAAAAGGATTACACAAAAGGATTACTTACTTAGTCTCGATCGTTGCACGACAATCATGTAAGTCATTGATGTTGGATGAAGCATATAGGGGCATCTCTAATGTTTTTGCAGCACCGCGATCTTAACATGAAAAGTCAGAATTGTTTTCAAAGTTTGTAAAGGCATGCAGCAAGATGTTTCACTCAACACAAAGTGACTGCAAATCTTCCTAACTAAACATAAAGATGCAAAATTGTTAAGATTCCTGGGGGCGGGGGGTGGGGGGGGGAGGGGGTTAAGGGGGTGGGGATACCTGGATTCTTGGCTTTGCGAGAGAAAGAAATTCACACCAAAACCTGGTTTGTCATCTAAGTTGACTGTTTATAAAGGATAGAAGTTTCAGGTTTGACAGTTAACTGGACACAGGGCTTCACCCCACACACGGTGACCTGAGGCCAGAGAGAGAGAGAGAGAGAGAGAGAAAGAACGCCTGCAGCACAGCTGGGCAGAAGGCAGAGCACAGCGGTGTGTGTGTGGGGGGGGGGGAAGGGGTGTCTCCAGTTCTGGTCTTTTGGGGGCCTGTGGCTGGGAGGTTTGGTCGACAGTACTGGTTGACCCCATTAGCTAAATTAAGCCCACCTGGCCTAGACTGGGCCAATCCAGGTGTACCCCCCACCATCACCACCACCGGCTCAGGGCCTGAATTACCACATGCCCGGTGGACACCCTGGTCCCTGTTCTGCTACCTAACATTTCCCCACTGAAGAGGTATGGACCCAAATCTTTGGAGAACTGGGCGGCGGCATCTCTAGTTGCTTCCTGCTGGCAAAAGAGGCACTACGTGGGGTTTTGGGGGCATACCCTCCCTAGCTGTTGGAAGGGGTTGTCCACTCCAGGCCCACGATGGATGAGGTTGGGGTGGGGCAGTCCAGGAGCTGAGTGTCCTGGAGTTCAGACTGGGTTCAGACACCTTGGTAACCTAAGAACTTCTGGAAGAAGAAACAAAAAAGGTGGGCAGTTTAGGTGAGACAGGGGTGAGGCTGTGAGATGGCAGTGCCCTTGAAGGTGGGGGTTAGTGTCACGGGAAGTTTCAAACAATGGAACTCCTAGGGCTGACAGGCATGGGTGCTGGTTCACTTTAAACACAGGAATGGGGTAAAAGCATTGACTGGCTTCAAGACTGCGATGGGTCTGAGGTAGAGTTTCTGTGGAACACTCATCTGTCCTGGGGGTGGGGGCGGTGGATCACCCCCCAGCAGCTCTCAGGGGTGCTTGTCTGTCTGCTCTGCTTCTGAGGGTTCTGGGTGCAACAGCTCCCACGGTTTCACCCATGAATGGTGCCCAGGGTCAGGGAAGAAGGTGAGGACAGGAGAGGCAGCCCAGTCTCTCGGAGACATCCACTGACCTTGCTGCCACATTGATTGTTCACCCGAGTTTCCAGACGCACTACAGCTCTCTTGCTGCTTCACTGGCCAGGCCGGGCCAGTCTTCTCTGAGCGACTCACTGTCCTGCGGGCACCCTCCCTCCTGGCTATCTGCCATAGGACAAGGGACACCCTGGTGGCCAGCTTTCTTGCCAGGGTGGCATGGCCATCAGGTGAGCCTATTCTGGCTAGGGCAGTTCTGTGCCCAGTGGCCTGGTTCCCGACATACATACTACTTGGCACTTTGTTCACAGCTCTGGGAGACCTGGGAGGTGGTGACTGGCAGTTAGCAGGTGCGGTCAGTACCTCGGCAGCCTGATGTCCTTCCTTCTGTCCTTCTCCTGAGCCCGCACCTCCCGCTCCTGTTCCCTATTGTAAAAGGCAGCAGTAGCACCAGCAACCATCTCTTCTAGGATAACCCCTTTAGTAAGGTGACCAGATTTTAACATTGGTAAAGCGGGACACCATTGATAAAACTCATATCTTGGCGAAATAGCCACATGGCAGCCGAAAATCGTATACCCTAGCTTGTCGTGCATCCTTTCCAAAAATCGGGACTTTTTAAAAATGTCGCGGGACGCGGGGAAAAAGTGTTAAAAATCGGGACTGTCCCACCAAAAGCGGTACGTCTAGTCACCTTATCCTTTAGGCTTCTGCACTAACTTGTGGAGCTTCTTCTGAATGTCCGGTGCAGCCTGCATGAGAAATTTGTCCCTGAGTAAGACTTGCCCTTGGTAGGAATCTACGTCTACAGCAGAGTGACTCCTCAGCGCCTCCTTTAGCCACTCTAAGAAGCCCACGGGGCTTTCCTCTGGTCCCTGGTGAATCGCTGTCACTTTGGCATAATTAATGGATTTTTGCCTACCTGACTTCAGTCCACTTGTGATACACACTGGAAAATGTTCCCGTGCCCACCTGT